ATTAAAGTGAGCCCAGCGCAGTAAACTGCTGTAATCAACCCCATCTTTCTCCTATCCACCCTAATCTCATATCTTACTTATAGTCTATCAAATTTAATACACATTGGAGTTATGGATAGAGTGCTCATTGAATCATGTGTGAAGAGGAACAAAAGATTCATTTCTAAACCAGGAGCTTGTAACTGAGCTTAGGTGGGAATCGTCGAATTTTTCGTGTTTTCAAAAATAATTGAGCATAAATCAATTCGGCTTTTCTCTTCATTGATTGAAAAAGCCTAGACAAGTGGATCCCACTTTGCCATCATTTTATAAAGTATATTCTCTTGGCTTGAAAACACTGGCTACTGGCTCGTAATCACCATCCCTCGTATAAGAATGAAATACACAAAACGGCAAATCATTCATATAAGCTTTTATATTTTTTATTGAAGTCTGCTGCTAAAGTTTTAATTGAGATCTTACATAAATTTAGTCATAATTGTGCAAATCATTTAGATGATGTCATGGTTTGCAAGGAGTCCGGAAGATGAGCTGAGAAAAAAACTAAGTCAAACTTCAAGCTACGATATCAGAAGGGAGATTGTCAGTGGAGTCGTGGATATTTTCGACTGGAAGACTCTTTTTGTTCTTTTGCATCATTGTGTTCCTGTAACCCCCATTTATGTAGTTATCCTGTTACTAAGAAGAAGAATCACTGCAAAACTACAAACCAATATAACAATGTCGGAAAAAACTTGCCGAATGCATTCACAGCTTCTCAAGGTGATTTTGTGTTGTTACCAAACAGATAATTTACGGACCAAAATAATCTTTTCAGGCAATCACCTACCAAGCCTGCTTGCCACTTTTTTTCCTCTACTCATTAATGGCATATTTATTTCTGCAGTTTGGGATTTCCAATCATCCACTACTCGAGTACACTATATATATCGTCATGAATTTTATCCCATCAATCAACCCTTTAATATCTCTTTACTTCGTCACACCATATCGAGTTTGGTTGACTAAGAGGTTGCTGAGACGAACCCGGGTTGCCTCTATCATCACTATAACCCAGGAACAAATTACTAATGAGCTGGAAAGGCACTGATAACTGCGCTATGATAAAATTTTATTCCAGTTCAGCTACGTTCATGTAAGTCAAGAAGGTCAAAGAGCTTGGAAGATAGACAATTTGGCAT